GTCACTACACAGATTGGAATCGTACTGATTCTCCTGTTTTCAGCCTCCAAGCACTGGGATTATAGGCGCATGCCCCTGTGCCCAGTCTCATTCACCATCTGAGTGTGCTCCAAGAGCGGGCAGCACGAAACACCAAGGATCAAACCCTGGCCCCTGCATCTGCCTCAGCTTTAATCCACTGGGCTATCTGGCCAGCCCAAGGTTTCCTTTTTGTATGAGAAGAAAGAAAAGCTTCCACTCTTGTTCTCACAAACTCAAAAATCAGAGATGTAGCTTGTAAGGCCAATCAGTAAAAAAAGAGAAGATGGAGAGGGAAAAAAAAGATGTCAGCAGCTTTGATGTGTGCATAGTCATGCGTGGAGACAAGATGGCAACACCCCTGATCAAAACAAAAACAAAAACAGCGATTTACTAAATAAAGTAAGTAGAGGCCCGCTGACTTAGCAACGGACAAGACTAAGCAGCTAGAAAGAAAAACAAGCCCACATTCCTTCCCTACCCACAGCTAGAAAACCAGGAAACAACATCCTGTGCCTTGAGAGTTGTCTCCTGTTTCCAGCCTACAGGACAGAGTGCAGGGAGGGAGGGAGAAGGAAATGTGCAGAGAAAAACAGTGTGCCCTGCGTGGCCTTCTTGGCCCCTGGCACCCGAGCTTTTCTTGGTGGCTGCCCACCCAAAATACAGGCTTCTGGCTGGAAAAGCCAAAGTGCCCTCAGCTAGTTCTCTTAGACATGGAGCACCAGGACTGGCGAGATAGCTCAGCAGACTAAGCACCTGCTTACTCCAGCACCACATGCTGCCCAGCCCCATCCCCAGGTGCGCTGAGCCGGCCATCAAGACCTGGCGTGGTGGCCCAAGACTGTAATCCCAGCGCCAGGGAGGCTGAACACAGGCACACTATGAGTCTGAGCTGCGTAGTGAGACTCTGTACCAAATACAAGGGTTTTTTTTGTTTTGTTTTGTTTTTGCAGAACCAGGGATTGAACTCAGGCCTTTGACTTATCAGGCAAGTACTTTACTGAGCTATCTTCCTGGGCCAACAATAAAGATTTTTAAAAAGAGGGCCCAGGTGGGGCCAGGGAGATTGCTCAGTAGAGTAAGCACTTACCTGGCAAGCGCAAGGGCCTGAGTTCAACCCCCGGTTCTGCAAAGAGAGGCCGGGGAGATAGCTGAGAGGTACAAAGTGCCCACTTTGACAAGCTTATCCCTTGCACCACATGCCACACTGGCCCTGCCCCCAGGGTGGGCTGAGCCAGCCACAAAAAAAGACAGAGGACCACCAAGGTATCCCAGGTCCTTCCCCAAACAAAGTATTGGGCAAGATAGGCCAAAAACAGTGCAGGGTTTATTTCAAAGGGGAAGGGTCTTGGGGTAGGGGAGAAAGCAGCTCTAGAGTGAACTTGGGTTGAAAAAGGATAGGATAAAAGCGAAAGTAACAGTGCACTTTGCGCCATCCCCATAGGAAGATACTGAGGGGTTGGGTGAGCCACGCACGCTGTGCCCTTCTCTACAGCAACCTCTCTTGGAGCCACGAGGTCCACCACGGGGTCCTGGGAGTTACTTGGCATAGCGCTGGAATCTTGTCGCTGGCTCTGCATGCCCCACAACTGGGTCATCTTGACTTCCCTGATTTTTGAGTCCCATGTTAGAACCACCCTAGAGCTGTGAAGCTACACACATCCTCTCCACGAGCCCTCTGCCCACTGCTCAAGTTGGCACCACTACCTACAGGTAACCTTTGTCCTGGAGTAAGAAGAGCTGCCCCACAGCTGCGCACCTGCCTCAGCCTGGTGTGTGCCTCCAGGTGGTTTCATGGCTGGCGCAGATGATGGGGCTCCTCTGAGTGCTTACCTCATCCCTCTGCATCCCGTGGAGCGCCCACTCTCCTAGACCCAGGAACTCCACCGTGGCCTGCAGGAAAGGCCACACGTGTGCCTCCTTCTCTGCACACTGCACTGCATGGGCACACCAGCGCTGTGTTGTGGTGCACACCTGGAACCCCAGCACCCAGCTGAGGCGCGAGCATCACTTAGTTCAAAGCCAGCCTCCATGGAATAGTGAAACCCTGTTTTTATTTATTTATTTATTTATTTTTATTTTTTGTCTCAAAGAGACAATCCCTGATCCCACAAAAAACAAAACAAACAAACAAAAGACAAAGAGAAAAAAAGGTCAAATTGTAATTGTTCCTTAGATGGCAGGATTAGGGATGGGGAAATAGCTCAGTGGCGGAAGCACCCGCCTACCAAGCACAAGGTCCCAAGTTGTCTACCATACCAAAAAAAAGGAAAAAAATGCTATTAGGGGGCTGTGGAGATGGCTCAGTGGAATAAGCATTTCCCTGCAAGCGCAAGGGCTTGAGTTCAAGCCCCAGCTCCACCAAAAAAAGAAAAAAAAGTTACTACAATCTTAGAGTACTCATTTCCGGCTGAAATGACCTGGGAGGTAGGCATGGTGGAGCGTATCTTGTAGTCCCAGCACTAAGGAGGCTGAAGCATGAGGATTGCCATAACCTCATCTCAAAAAAATAAAAGAACTCATCCTAGCACTATTTTTTTGACGGAACCAGGGATTGAACTCAGATCATTGCATTTGCCAGTCAAGCGCTTATCCTACTGAGCCATCTCCCCGGCCCCAATCCTAGCACTCTTGAGGCAGGAGGATCACAAGTTTGAGACCAGCCACACCAATTTAGCAACTGAGACTATCTCAAAAATAGGAATTAGAAGGGGCTGGGGATTTGGCTTAGTGGTAGAATGCTTGCCTAGCAAGCTGGAAGCCCTGGGCTCAGTCCTCAGCACTAAAACCAAAAAATAAACCTCTCCTAAAAAAAAATTAAAATACGGGCCAGGGAGATAGCTCAGTTGAATAAGCACTTAAGGGCCTGAGTTCAACCCTCGATTCCGCCAAAAATAAAAAGTAAGAATTAGAAAATAAAGTGGGCTGAGGGTGTAGTTCAGTACAAAAGCCCTAGGTTCAATCCCCAGTACCACCAAAAAAAATCTCTATAAAGCAGCAGCAGAATAGGCACCTGGCAGATGCTGGCCGCCCCATCCCGCCCCTCCACCACCACCTTGGCCGGGTGGAACATAGCAGTCCTGCTCTCCAGGGGGACTGGCACACACAGAGTAATTCAGTACAGGTTCCATAGCAAGTAAGCAGTTGCTAAGCCAAATGAAGTACATCGTTCTGCCCTGTATTCTATCAGAGCAGGTGTCACTTCATATATTTTGATAGCTTTTCTAGTGACCCTTTTTTATGTTCACGACCCATTTCATGCAGGGCTTTGGGGTGAGTTTGTCTTTGATGGTGGAATTCAGGAGCCGGGGGCCGCTGGGTGGACTGAAGCTTCAGAGCCTGCTAGTTCGTACCCACCCTGCAAAGAGCACACGCAGGCCGAGGTTCCCAGCATTGCTCTGGGCATTTTCAAATCTTGCAGAATGCAGTTCATTCTCCCTGAGGTGCAGCTCAGATGGATCTGTTTCTCAGCATTCTCCCAGGGCTTTCGTGTGTGTTTTCTTTTTCAGGATTATGGTGAGGGCTCTGGTGCTGACTGCAGACACCATGTTCAAAAACTAAATCTGCTGCTGGGCCAGGCTTCTGAGCTGTCCCTCAGGTACAGTGGCTTCAAGGGTACATTCACTTACCCTGCTCTGTCTTGACCAGGTAATGGTGGCAGTCAGTGAAGAGATCCTTAGATTCTGTATTTTATAATATGGCAGATTAAATGCCCTGAGCAATCCTCCCAGAGGAAATGCTGGTTACAGTATTTCAAATGCACTAAAGCACCAAGTGAATTTCAGCACTTAGGAAAGCAGAGGCAGGATTACAAGTTCAAGTTTTACTTTGAGAACCTGTCTCAACAGGCCGGGGTGATGGCTGAGTGGAATTAAGCACTTTCCTGGCAAGCGCGAGGGCCGCAAGTGAGGGCACACACAGCAAGGCTGAGGCTGTAGCAGTGGAAGGAAGCCCTCGGCCCTGCACACATGCTCGCCTGGGCGCGGCATGCGCAGCCCCAGTAGGTGTGGGAGCAGTTGGGCTGAGCTGCCCTGCCCCCCACCCTTCGGGCTACCCAGTGCCCCCCAAGCCAGCCTCCCCCAAAAGACCCACCAGGGGCTTGCAGCTTTGTGGGTTCTCTAGCACAGCCATAACACCAACTGTCCCCCCTCAGATTCAGCTCACTTGCTGGAGCAGCTCGCAGAACTCAGATACATTCACTGACTTCGTATGAAAGGTGATGTCTTCTTTGGGTTTTTGAACAGGGTCGGGCTGAACTATGTAGCCCAGGCTGGCCCTAAACTTGGGTCAGTCCTCTTGCCTAGAGCTCGAGCGCTGGATCCTAAGTATATAACACCACACCAGGCACAAAGTACACTTTTCGGGGCTGGGGAAATGGCTCAGTAGAATAAGCACTTGCCTGGCAAGCCCAAGGGCCTGAGTTCAGTCCGCGGTTCCGGGGGTGGGGGGGACACAGAACCTTGTGCTTGGTAGGCAGGCACTTTAAGCCACTGAGCTCCCTGGCTTTTAATGTTTTTACATTTGTTGAAGCTAGAAAAGGAGTATACTTTGAAGCCCAGAGGGTAGGGGAAGGAGATTTTCATATTGAGAATTTTGAGTTTATTCCTCTTTATGTATATCAGGCCTTGGGAAGATCATCCTATCAAATGCTCACTTGCCATTATACCATGTATACTCATTTATTTTTTTGGGTTTTTTTTTGGGGGGGGGGTGCCACAGCTCACCTGAAGGCAGGGCTGGTGCAGCATGTGGTGCCAGTGATCTAACCGAACCACAGTCCTCTGTGCCTGCCTAAGCTTGCTTAAGCAGGTGCTTTAATCCACTGAGCTGTCTGGCTGCTACTTTGAAGCAGGGTCCTCACCATGTAGAGCAGGTTGGCCTTGAACTTGCTTGTGCAACCCAGGCTGGCTTGAGTTCACGGGACCCATCCTCTGCCCCAGAGTACTGAGATTATAGGCATGCCTCACCACACCTGGCTTTGTCTTGAGTTAGGCCTTTGCTGCACAGTCCTGGGTGGCCTCCAACTCATGGCAACCCTCCTGCCTCAGCCTCCTAAGCACTGAGGTGATATAGACATACATACCCCACCATGCCTGGCTAGAATTGGCTTTAAAGATGTGGCTGATCAGTGTGGCCAGTGTAGCCAATCCACAAGCTTCGTATCAGCAAGGCCGTGCCGGACAGGTGTCTGCAGGGCAGAAGGGAGGGGCACCAGGCAGGGTCCCACCCTAGTGGGTGGAGTTTCCTCCTGGCCTCTGAACTGAGGGTATTCTTTGCTGACAGCTGAACAGTTATCACCTTTCTTCCCCAGGAAAGGAAGCATGAGTACAGCACACCCTCCACATGGCCTGAATGATGACACCGAAGTCACTGTGGAATCACAGGTCAGTGCGGACTGTGCACGAGCAAGCCTGGAGTGCGCTGTGCAGCGCAGCACACCGTGTGGACTACACCCAGGGCACAGGCTGAGCTCACACCTCAGCCCCCCACAGCTCTCACCTGTTCCATTTCTCACACAAGGTCTTTCTGCAGTGCCTAGGCTAGCCTTAAACCTTGTACACGGTCCGTCCTAACAGGCATAGCTGTGCCTCCGGAGTCTGAAAGTTCCGGCGCAACCTGGCCACAATAGCAAGTTCCATGCCAGTCTGGGATATGGAGACCCCATCTCAAAACCCAAAACAAAGCGAGCTGTAGATTCCTTGTCTGGCAGCCACCAGGGAGTGGCTGTGCAGCTTTTTGGTGAGCACAGCAGGTGCAGGAGCAGAGCCACCTTGTCAGTGTCCATACTGCTGGAACTCTAAAGAGCTCCGCTGGCTCTCGAAGGGGCAGAAGCCAGGTCCAGTGCCCTCACCCTCAGCACCTGGGCTCGGTGCTGCATCCACACCCTTTCTGGAGCCTCATATTCCACCTGACCAGAAGGTCCACAGCTAGGGCACCAGTGACACCTGGGGACTCAGCAAGGAAGGGGGGAACAGTAGGGGGATACTGTGATCTTGGGACCAGAGAAGATGCCAGCAGGGCAAGATGGCTAGCCACACCCAAGATACTTTCTCAGGTTTGTCTCTGTTTAGGCTGACACCAGTGAACCTGGTCCTCTTTGGATAGACCAGCCCGGCCCAGCCCCAGTCCCAGCCCCTTCTAAGTGGACACAATTTCTCCTGTTGCCTGGAAACAGCTCCCAGATGGACATGGACCCACCATCATCCATACAGAGGGGACCCAGGCCAGTAAGTCCAGCACAGGCCAAGTCCCCTGAGGAAGGCCGCTTCTGTGGGCCCACCACGCCACCTCAGGCCACACCAGGCCACGCCAGGCCCTGGGGGGAGACCCCAGGGCCAGCCTGGGTCACAGGGACCTCTTGGGCTGGGTGTGGGCCTGGAGCACAAGGGCCTTTACAGACCCCACCCATGCAGTGGAGCAGCCTCTTTACCACCGGGGAGGACTTCGATGATGATCTGTGAGGCAAGACAGCTGCACACCAAGGTGAAGTTGGCCAGAACAGATCGCCTTGGGCCAGGCCACCAGGGACCACTTGACAATAAGTGTGACACAGCGGATTAAAGTGCATATGCTGTTTAATGACAGGCAATTCCAAATCAGCAAACAGGGTGGCTACAATAGGATTCTCTTACTTTAAGAACAGCTACTACATTTGGAAATGAGACTAGAGTGGCTACACAGGAGGCCGCTGGGTGACTTCCCTAACAAGTCCCTTGCCACTTCTGGCAGGAAACCCCTTAGCCTGTGCCTTGCCACCCCCAAATACACAGACAGTGACAACATCAACTAAGTGTTGGTATGGTCATTTGTAAGAACAAGCACAAGGCCACAGGCAAGATCTGTGTTGCTGGTGATGGTGGCAGGGACAGCAGAGGACCTGGCAGTCATGCCCTGTCCCCTGCCCTCTGCCCCATGGCTCATCCCCACCCCAAGATTGTAGAAGGACACCAAGAAAGTACCCTCATGGGCCTGCTGCTCTAGGCTACCTCAACACAATTAGGAGAAAGGAAAGCAGGCCCAGGCCAGGGCTGCGTCACAGTGATGGTGGCCCGGCATACTGGATGGCGTCCAGCGCAGCCCCGATGTCATAATTCTTGGTCTGCAGGAGCCGGGTGAGCCAGCCACCTTCATCTGAGAATCCCATGGACAGCATCTGTGACAGGGACTCGATCAAGCGTGGGTCAGCCTCTGCCAAGACAGTAACAGAGCACTAAGGGTCAGAGGTGAGTCCTGGCCAAACCTCAGCCTGCAGAGGGGCACAGCAGGTGCACAGCAGGCCCCACAGGCCCTGTACACCATAGCAGCCAGCCAGTGGCCCCTATGAACTTCACTGCCCAGCACCATGGTCACTAGTACTCATGAGGCTGAGACAGGAGGACCACTTCAGCCAGGCAATTTGAGACCAGCCTGGGCAATGCAACAACCAAGACTCATCTCAACTGCTGAAGCACCACCTCTCAGACACCAACGTGAACCTCACCTTGGGGTCACAGGCTCTTTCCACCATTTAGAGATGGGAGTTTGCCCCCCAGGCTCCAAGGCAGGAGCCAACACCATCCTGGCCCGAAAGATAACTCCCTGCTGCTCTGAACACCTGTGCCTCAGAAGGTGGTATCAGCTGGGCTGAGGCAGGTGCCAGCCTCCACCTGCAGGTGGGCTCCAAGCCCAATGCAGCTTCCATGCTGAACATTAACACCCCCAGTAGCTCCCTCTTGAAATGAGACAAGGTCTCTACATAGCTGAATTGCCCAAGCCAGGCTTAAACTTCACCACCTTCCTGTGGTTCTGGGTCACAGGCATGCACCACTGTGCAATTCTTGATCCAGCTGTTAACTTTATTTTGTCCGGATCAGCCCAACCTAAGGGAAGGGCTGGTGCGACATGTGGTGCTGGGGATCGGACCATGGTCCCCCCCCCTTGTGACTGCCTAAGCAGGCGCATTAGATCACTGAGCTATCTCAATGGCCCCTAGCTGTTAACTTTTAGAGATGAGGAAACTGGCTTCAGTTTCCTTCACATTGACATAAAGGAACTCATTTTTTTGTCAGTAACAAGCCCCACAGGAGGGGCCAGCTGACCCTTGCCTGGTGGGAGATGCGGGTACAAGGCTGCCTCCAGCCCTGTGGGCTCCTCCTGAGCAGGGTCCAGAGAATTTGGCCCTTCTGACTCTGGCATCTGGAGAGACTGCAGCTCCCCTGTGGATGGGTCCACTTCCTTTGAGGACAGGTGAGTCCAGTCCTCATCTCCACCCGAACCATTGTCCGATTCCATCTGTTCCTGGAGGGAAACAGTGCCGTGAGTGCGTGCAGGCAGGCAGGCAGGCCACGCCAGGGGACTGGGACCCAGCAGGGGAGGGGGCAGCCTACCTCTGTCTGCCCCGGAGACTCCAGGGCAATCATCTTCATCTGCTCTGCCAGAGACTGTGTGGCACCATCACCATCAGGTTTTCGAGGTTCAGAAGAACAGCTGCTGGGCTGGGAGCTGCCCTTGTCCTCAGTGCCAGCGCTCTCAGGGGAGGCGCTCTCAGGGGAGACAGGTGTCAGGCGGCTTCTCTTCCCCCCATGCTCAACGTCAATATCTACCTCAATGCCTGGAGGCCAAGCAACAGGCACTGAGGTCAGGGCCTCCCCTGCAGGGGGAGGCTACAGGCTTACAAAGCTCACTGGGCCTTCACTGTGTCTGGAGGGTGGAGCAGGTCACCTGGCATGTGAGGACACACCCCTTGGCCTCAGCTGAGTCATGGCCATGTAAGACTGCACAAGCTAAAAATGGTGGTCACCCCCATCAAGGGTCCCAAACACAGAACTACTTTGGATACCCTGGCCCCTGATCCCCAGCTTTAAGAAACGCACGCCTAACATGCGACTGGCCCCTAGCTGTGAACTTCAGAGATGAGGAAGCTGACTTGGGGCAGGCCCAAGAGTTAACATGGGCCCATACCCAAGGTCAGCTTTTGACCCAACTCCACAGGGACCAGTGTGGAGACCACGGCCGCCCCAGGGGTGCAGCAGGCCATGCAACACGAGGCTGACAGCACAGGCCAGCCTGGCCACGCCAGCTCACTGGCAGAGGGCAGAATCCCTCGGCTCCAGTTGACCTCCCCGTGTCCAAGGGCCTGGAGCAAGCAGCGCCTCCGCCTGCCACCAAGCTCAGATCTGCTCCCTTTCCTTTTCTCTCTGAAGAGCAATTTTGGGATGAAACATCTAGTGAATCTGAGCCACTGTGGAAGCTGCCCCTTGGTGGGCTGAGCTGCAGCCTTGTCTCCTCGCAGATTTTCCCACTTTGCTACCCTCAGGTGCTAACCTTGTGTTCTCCCACAGCTCCATGGCTTTGTGCACACTCCCTGGGCTGCCTGGGTAGCCTTCCCCTCACCCAAATGCCCTCCCTCTGCAAGGCTGTTTGTAGCACCTCTGTTCTCAGGGTTTCTTTATTGGGTTTAAAACCCAGTGAATATTAAGAATGCGTAGCAGATGACGTTTTTGATGTTGGGAGCCAGACGTCTCTACCACTGAGCTGCCCAAAGGCATAGCTACCCTGTCCTCACATGGGTTGCTTTAGCTAGCTGTGACAATCCAGATGAAAAGCCACTGCAGGGCAGACGTCCAGGAGGGCGCACACTCTGCCCCAAGGTCAGCATCAATTCCAAGGAACTCCCTGGTTCCCATGACAATTTCCTCTTCAGTCTTCTGTCTTCTCTGGGATTCCAGGACGACCTTAATTTTCTCATCCTTTTTGAACTTGTTTCATTTTGGAATACATGTTCTCTCACTATGGAGAGGGAGCTGACAGTGCATGTGCTATGTACATATGATATGTAGTTTTAGTCTAGGGCTTAGCCATAAATGACAATCTGTACAGCATGGGTACAGTTTTCCCTTAAATCTCTATCCAGGTGACTGAATGCGTGCACATGCAAACCAGATGGTGAAGTGTACTAGCATTGAGACAGTCACAAAAAGGGCCTAGGCCTTTGGAAGTTTTCCTTCTATTACTCTGCCTCCATTACCTTTCTGTCCCTTCTCTGCTACAGCCTGGTGTGCCAAGCACATACTTTTCACTGCCATCAGGCCCTGTCCCGCTCATGCAGCCAGACCCCCTTCATGTGGCCCCAGAAAGGAACTAAGGCAAAGGCCACAAACACACCCTTGCTGTGGGGCAGCCACGGGGAAGCCAAGGAGCTATGGCCACCCTCTGGGTCACTCAAGACCCACACCTGGCTCCTCCCCCACGGGCTGTTACAGGCAAGGACCAGGCCCTGGTGTCTTTGTGACCTGCATAGCAGGCTGTGTCACTGGTCCCTAAGCAAGTGACTCTGTCCACTGCCCAGCCGCATAGATCACTGGACATGTCAGTCCCATACCACTTCCATTCCAGAACTGACACCGGTCTTGTGTTACTGCTTTCCATTCTTTCTCCAGGGTCCCTACACTTTGAGTAGAGGAGGATGTTAACTGGCTTGCCCAGCACACACACGGCCCTGCATCATCAGCCCCCAGCACCGCATACATGCAGTTTCTTTTCAGCTTTTCATTATGAAAATATATTCAAGCAAAGTCAGGCATGGTAGCACATGCCTGTAAGTCCAGTGCGTGGGAGGCTGAGTCACAAGGACCCTCCAGTTCCTGGGATACCAGGAGAGACCTTAACTCAGAAAACAAAAGGTTCAGGCAAACGAAAATTAAAAGAATAACCCTGAATACCCATACTTTTTACTCCAACATCTGCAAGATCACTATTGAGGCACTTGAGCAGCTCAGACACAGTGGGACCCAAGGTGACCCAGCCAGCTTCTGACATACAGGTAACTTGGCACCATCAGAAAGTTGGGCTGGGCATCTGGACTGTGGAGGTCCTCTCCTGGACTAAGCCTGGGGGTTGTGACTGGCTCTACTGCAGCCACTTTACAGAATGCCCACACCAGGGCTGACATGGGCCTCCGTGGAGGGAGGGGCCCTGGCCCCCAGGCTAGTACTGGCGAAAATACGGCAATTTTAATAGGGTTTCCACACAGCCTAGACACCCCTCACCCTCCAGAAAAGTCTATTGGTCAGCTTGGTGCTCAGCCAGGCTGGAGACGTGCTGGCCACGGCCGAGAGCCCCAGGCTAGCGGAACAGATCTGTCCCAAGGGAGTAGCAGGCCAGGACCAGGCACACATGCGCTTCTCCATGGCACACTGCTCCGTGGGTCAGCCTGGGAAAGTGCCAGAGCCTCCACCACAGGGCTACGGGTCTACCTCAGTGGCATGGCGTACACTCGGGATGTCAGGACCTGGGCATCAGTTATTTCTCAGTCCAAACCCTGCTCACTGCAGAAGCCAAGAGTAAGCTGAGCAATTCCACATGGCCTTTCCCAGCTGCACCACGAGCAGGCTGAGCATGAGGGATCGGGTTGCCCAACCTGGAGCCACTGCAGGCATGGCTGGTGGCCCTCTGCAGTCCGCTCTTCAGTGCAGGACCCACCTCTTGAACTGAGACTCCCTGTCAGGAAGCCTGGCACCTACTCTGCCTCAACCCTCAGAGGAAGGTGTCAGGTAGGGACTACAGCCCATGGTGGTTAGTGGCACACAGCTTGTATCAAGTCCAGTACACACTATGCCCAGAGGCACCCACGATAGGTGTCAGTCGAAACTCTGCCTCCATCACTGCTCCCCAGTGGGGCACTGGGCCAGCATGCAGAGAGAGGCACCCAGGGAAGGTCTGAGAGGTACCAATAGAGAGGGTAGGTGAATAGTAGCCACTACCAGGTCAGCCCAATTCCCAAGGCGAGCTTAGGGAAAAGGAAAGCGTGAAGGCCGCCAAACAGCAGATTAAAGCCCGCAAGCAGGCGCAGGGGCTGGAGGTTTGATCCCCAGGCCTGTCGTGCCGGCCCCACCCCCGGGGTACCCTGAGACAACAATTGGGACTGGGCATGGTGGTGCGCGCCTGTAATCCCAACTTCTGGGAGGCAGTAAAGAGGATCGCCAGGAGTCCAATCTAGTAGTGAGACCCTGAACGCCCTGTAGACCCTTCCCTTACAAAAAGAAAAAAGCACAGACCAAAGACCAGCCACCCCGCAAGCAACAGTCGGATCACCTTACTCCTAAAGTCCTCAGGAACACAGCTCACTATCAGACTCCACGAGGAGGGCTAGAGGTTTGTCAGGGAATTCAGCCTGGCACATGCAAAGGTGTGTCTGAGGCACCAAAATACCTGAGGGTCAAACAGCCTGGTTTCCTATTCCTGCACAACACACCAGGTGGAAGCTACAGAGAGGTCATGTGCATGCCAAGGCACCTACCCACTCGGGTGATGTCAAAGGATGGACAAAGTCACTTACCCAGAGGGCTGAGGGCAGCTGCCACGCTCTCCCCTACATTCTTCAGGAAATTCACTCTGGGATCTTCTGATGGGCCAGAAGCTTTGGTTTTACAAATAAAGATGATATCCTTAATTCAGTGTTTTTGACGCCCATCACAGTCCTAGCACCTGCATGCCAAGGTCCCTAGTATCTCAGGAATTGCCATCTCAGGACACCTCACGCCTGCAGCCCACACTGTGCTTCACCTACCTCCCCCACCTCCCCGCACTCCTCAGCCTAGGCCCAGGGCTCAGTGTTCAGTGTACGATATCCTTGTCCTGTATATGCTGTTCATTCCAAATCAAACTATACTCCCAGCTTTGTCCCAAACACTGAGGTGAATTCAAAGACAGTCATCCCAAGACACACATGTGTAAATATCGTATAGTCTCCCTAGTATAAGAACTCCAAAGAAGAAATACAAATAGAAAGATATAATACAAGTGAAAGGAAAGCA